CAATGCTGCTGCAATGCTGCTCCAATGCTGCTGCTGCAAAGGTGCTGCTGCAATGCTGCTACTGCAATGCTACTGCTGCTGCTGCTGCAGTGTTGCTGCAATGCTGCTGCTGCAATGCTGCTGCTGCTGCAGTGCTGCTGCTGCAATGCTGCTGGTGCTGCTGCGATGCTGCTGCTGCAATGCTGCTGCTGCTGCTGCAATGCTGCTGCTGCCGCAGTGCTGCTGCTGCAATGCGGCTGCAATGCTGCTGCTGCTGCAATGCTGCTGCTGCAATGCTGCTGCTGCAATGCTACTGCTGCTGCAATGTTGCTGCAATGCTGCTGCTGCAGTGCTGCCACTGCAGTGCTGCTCCAGTGCTGCTGCTGCAATGCTGCTGCTGCATTGCTGCTGCTTCTGCAGTGCTGCTGCTGCTGCAATGCTGCTGCTGCGATGCTGCTGCTGCTGCAATGCTGCTGCTGCTGCTGCAATGCTGCTGCAGTGCTGCTGCTGCTGCTGCTGCTGCAATGCTGCTGCTGCAATGCTGCTGCTGCAATGCTGCTGCTGCTGCAGTGTTGCTGCAATGCTGCTGCTGCAATGCTGCTGCTGCTGCAGTGTTGCTGCTGCAATGCTGCTGCTGCAATGCTGCTGCTGCTGCAGTGTTGCTGCTGCAATGCTGCTGCAATGCTGGTGCAGTGCTGCTGCTGCTGCAATGCCGCTGCTGCTCCAGTGCTGCTGCTGCATTGCTGCTGCTGCTACAATGCTGCTGCTGCTGCAATGCTGCTGCTGCTGCAATGCTGCTGCTGCAATGCTGCTGCTGCAACGCTGCTGCAATGCTGCTGCTGATGCAATGCTGCTGCTGCTGCGATGCCACTGCAATGCTGCTGCTGCTGCAATGCTGCACCTACTGGTGCTGCATTGCTGCTGCAGTGCTACTGGTGCTGCAGTGCGGCTGCTGCAATGCTCCAGCTGCTGGAGTATTGCTGCCGCAATGCTGCTGCTGCAATGCTGCTGCTGCAATGCTGTTGCTGCAATGCTGCTGCTGCCGCAATGCTGCTGCTGCAGTGCTGCTACTGCAGTGCTATTGCTGGTGCTGCTGCAATGCTGCTGCTTGTGCTGCAATGCTGCTGCAGTGCTGCTGCTGCAGTGCTGCTGCTGCTGCAATGCTGCTGCTCCAGTGCTGCTGCTGCTGCAATGCTGCTCCAATGCTGCTGCTGCAGTGCTGCTGCTGCTCCAATGCTGCTGCTCCAATGCCGCTGCTGCTGCAGTGCTGCTGCTACAATGATGCTGCTGCTGCAATGCTGCTGCTGCGATATGCTGTTGCTGTAATGCTGCTGCTGCAATGCTGCTGCTCCAGTGCTGCTGCTGTTGCAATGCTGCTGCTGCGATGCTGCTGCTGCTGCAATGCTGCTGCTGCTGCTGCAATGCTGCTGCAGTGCTGCTCCAATGCTGCTGCTGCAATGGTGCTGCTGCATGGCTGCTGCTGCAATGCTGCTGCTGCTGCCACTGCAGTGTTGCTGCAATGCTGCTCATGCAATGCTGTTGCTGCAATGCGGTTGCTGCTGCAATGCTGCTGCAGTGCTGGTGCAGTGCTGCTGCTGCTGCAGTGCTGCTGCAATGCTGCTGCTGCTACAATGCTGCTGCTGCTGCAATGCTGCTGCTGCTGCAATGCTGCTGCTGCTGCAATGCTGCTGCTGCTGCGATGCCACTGCAATGCTGCTGCTGCTGCAGTGCTCCAGCAATGCTGCTGCTGCTGCAATGCTGCAGCTACTGCTGCTGCTGCTGCAATGCTGCTGCTGCTGCAGTGCTGCTGCACCGATGCTGCAGCTGCTGCAGTTCCCCTGCTGCAGTGCTGCTGCGACAATGATGCTGCTGCTCCAATGCTGCTGCTGCAATGCTGCTGCTGCAATGTTCCTGCGGCTGTAATGCTGCTGCTGGAATGCTGCTGCTGCAATGCTGTTGCTGGTGCTGCTGCAGTGCTGCTGCTGCAATGCTGCTGCTGCAGTGCTGCTGCTGCTGCAATGCTGCTGCTGCGATGCTGCTGCAATGCTTCTGCTGCTGCTGCAATGCTGCTGCAGTGCTGCTCCAATGCTGCCGCTGTAATGCTGCTGCAATGCTGCTTCTGCAATGCTGCTGCTGCTGCAGTGTTGCTGCAATGCTGCTGGTGCGATGCTGCTGCTGCAATGCGGTTGCTGCTGCAATGCTGGTGCAGTGCTGCTGCTGCTGCAATGCCGCTGCTGCTGCAATGCTGCTGCTGCATTGCTGCTGCTGCTGCTGCAGTGCTGCTGCTGCAATGCCGCTGCTGCTCCAATGCTGCTGCTGCTGCAATGCTGCTGCTGCTGCAATGCTGCTGCTGCTGCAATGCTGCTGCTGCAACGCTGCTGCAATGCTGCTGCTGCTGCAATGCTGCTGCTGCTGCGATGCCACTGCAATGCTGCTGCTGCTGCAGTGCTCCAGCTACTAGTGCTGCAATGCTGCTGCAATGCTGCTGGTGCTACAGTGCTGCTGCTGCAATGCTCCCTCTGCTGCAGTATCGCTGCCGCAATGCTGCTGCTGCAATGCTGCTGCTGCAATGCTGCTGCTGCAATGTTGCTGCGGCTGTAATGCTGCTGCTGGAATGCTGCTGCTGCAGTGCTGTTGCTTGTGCTGCTGCAATGATGCTGCCGGTGCTGCAATGCTGGTGCAGTGCTGCTGCTGCAATGCTGCTGCTGCTGCAATGCTGCTGCTCCAGTGCTGCTGCTGCTGCTTTTGCTGCTGCTGCAGTGCTGCTGCTGCTGCAATGCTGCTGCTCCAATGCCGCTGCTGCTGCAGTGCTGCTGCTACAATGATGCTGCTGCTGCAATGCTGCTGCTACAATGCTGCTGCAATGCTTCTCCTGCTGCTGCAATGCTGCTGCAGTGCTGCTCCAATGCTGCCGCTGCAATGCTGCTGCAATGCTGCTTCTGCAATGCTGCTGCAATGCTGCTGCTGCGATGCTGCTGCTGCAATGCGGTTGCTGCTGCAATGCTGCTGCAATGCTGGTGCAGTGCTGCTGCTGCTGCAATGCCGCTGCTGCTGCAATGCTGCTGCTGCATTGCTGCTGCTGCTGCTGCAGTGCTGCTGCTGCAATGCTGCTGCTGCTACAATGCTGCTGCTGCTGCAATGCTGCAGCTGCTGCAGTACTGCTGCTGCAACGCTGCTGCAATGCTGCTGCTGCTGCAATGCTGCTGCTGCTGCGATGCCACTGCAATGCTGCTGCTGCTGCAATGCTGCAGCTACTGCTGCTGCAATGCTGCTGCAGTGCTGCTGCTGCTGCAGTGCTGCTGCTCCAATGCTGCAGCTGCTGCAGTACTGCTGCTGCAATGCTGCTGCTGCAGTGCTGCTGCTCGAATGCTGCTGCTCCAATGCTGCTGCTGCAATGTTGCTGCGGCGGTAATGCTGCTGCTGGAATGCTGCTGCTGCAGTGTTGTTACTGGTGCTGCTGCAATGCTGCTGCTGCAATGCTGCAGCGCTGCTGCTGCTGCAATGCTGCTGCTCCTGCTGCTGCAATGCTGCTGCTGCAGTGCTGCTGCTGCTGCAATGCTGCTGCTCCAATGCCGCTGCTGCTGCAGTGCTGGTGCTACAATGATGCTGCTGCTGCAATGCTGCTGCTGCAATGCTGCTGCGATATGCTGTTGCTGCAATGCTGCTGCTGCAACGCTGCTGCTCCAGTGCTGCTGCTGCTGCAATGCTGCTGCTGCAATGCTGCTGCAATGCTGCTGCTGCTGCTGCAATGCTGCTGCAGTGCTGCTCCAATGCTGCTGCTGCAATGGTGCTGCTGCAATGCTGCTGCTGCAACGCTGCTGCTGCTGCAGTGTTGCTGCAATGCTGCTGCTGCAATGCTGTTGCTGCAATGCGGTTGCTGCTGCAATGCTGGTGCAGTGCTGCTGCTGCTGCAATGCCGCTGCTGCTCCAATGCTGCTGCTGGATTGCTGCTGCTGCTGCTGCAGTGCTGCTGCTGCAATGCTGCTGCGGCTACAATGCTGCTGCTGCAATGCTGCTGCTGCTGCAATGCTGCTGCTGCTGCGATGACACTGCAATGCTGCTGCTGCTGCAATGCTGGAGCTACTGCTGCTGCAATGCTGCTGCAGTGCTGCTGCTCCAATGCTGCTGCGGCTGTAATGCTGCTGCAGCTGTAATGCTGTTGCTGGTGCTGCTGCAGTGCTGTTGCTGGTGCTGCTGCAATGCTGCTGCTGCAGGGCTGCTGCTGCAATGCTGCTGCTGCAATGCTGCTGCAGTGCTGCTGCTGCAGTGCTGCTGCTGCTGCAATGCTGCTGCTGCAATGCCGCCGCTGCTGCAATGCTGCTGTTACAATGATGCTGCTGCTGCAATGCTGGTGCTGCAATGCTGCTGCTGATATGCTGCTGCTGCAATGCTGCTGCTGCAATGCTGCTGCTCCAATGCTGCTGCAACGCTGCTGCTGCAATGCTGCTGCTGCTGCAATGCTGCTGCTGCAATGCTGCTGCAATACTGCTGCTGCAATGCTGATTTTTCTTTGAGTGGCAGCTAGCCGTGTAGCATTGCAGCAAGCTAGGTAGCTAGGTAGTTAGCTAGCTCTCAGTGGCTACCTAGCTAGCTAGCTAGCAGCTAGCCTGGCTAGCTGTATGTGAATTTGTGTGGGGTGTTCGTGCGGGGTGTCTGTACACCTCAGAGGGGTGGACCATTGAAGACTTCGTTTTGCGAGTTGGCCTAGACCCAGATGCAGCAGCAGCAGCAGCAGCAGCAGCAGCAATCAGCAGCCACTTCAACTCCTGGAACGCCTTCGTCACGGCCTCCCCCAAGGTGCCTGCTGCTGCTGCTGTTGCTGCTGCTGCTGCTGCTCAAGGTGTTTGTCCGCTTCTGCCGCTCTTGCTGCTGCTGTTTAGCCCGTTGCTGCTGCTGCTGCTGCTGCTGCTGCTGACGACGGTGATATTTGGCCTGTCGGCATTGCTGTTGCTGCTGCTGCTGCTGCTGTTCAGACTAATATTATTGCTGGCAGTGCTTCAGCTGCTACTTTAACTAACTTTATCGCCGCTGCTGCTGTTGCTGCTGCTGCTGCTGCTGCTGCTGCTGCTTGCGCGGCCGTTTGCTGGAGCTTTAAATGCAGGATTTGAAGTGCAAATAACCATTAACAAAGCACTTACCAGTATCATTTATTTATTATTATTGTCATTAACTAATTAATTTATTGATTTATTTTTTTATTTTTTAATTTTTTATTTTTAGGACTTGATAGAAATCGAGGGCATTACAAATGCGCAGCGGCGCCTTTTGCTGCGGCATTTGCGGTGAGTATCTTTTTAATTAATTTATTTATTAATTGTATGTTTATTATTTGTTTATTTATTTATCCATTTATTTATTCATTATTTATGAGTATTTATTGTTTATTATTTGTTTATTTGTTTACTTTTTTGCTTCATTTAATGTGATTTTTCTCCTTTTAGCTGCTAGCTAGCTAGCTAGGTAGCTAGCTAGCTAGCTGGCTTGCTGGCTACATTGGTGGCTAGCTAGCTAGGTCACTGGCTAGCTGGCCAGAGTGTTGGCTAGCTAGCTGGACTATCAGCTAGCTAGCTTAGACTAACAGCTAGCTACCTGCTAGCTCAACCAGCTAGCCAGCCAGCTAGCTAGCCAGCTAGCTAGCTAACTAGATAGATAGCTACGCAGCCAGCCAGCCAGCAAGCTAGCTAGCTAGCTAGCCAGCCAGATAGCTAGATTAGTGGCTAGTTAGCTAGCTAGCTAGCTAGCTAGGAAGCAAAAGAGGGGTTCCCTGTTGGCTTTGTTTCAGTTTGTTTAACCATGGGCTCTGGCCGGAGAATTCCTACACCGACTATATGCAGCGATTTCAGGTACAAACCCTAAACCCTAAACCCTAATCCCTAATCCCTTGTTTCCGTGTGTAGAGGGAGGGAGAGGAGGAGGGCTTCGGAGTTGGGGTTTAGCGCTCAGGGTTTAGGGTTTAGGGTTTAGGAGTTTTAGCAAACGGCGAGCAGGGAAGGGCCGGGGTTCAGATCTGAAGGCGCACCAAAGGGTTTACGGTTCAGGCCCTAGGGTTTAGGGTTTAGGGTTTAGGGTTTAGGGTTTAGGGTTTTGAACGCGCAGGCAGCGCCACTCAAGAGAGAAGGAATGCCTTGGACAGAAGAAGAAGACAAACAGCTGCTGCAGCTGGCAGAGAAATACGATGCCAACTTTGGCGGTAAACCCTAAACCCTAATTCTAAGCCCTAAACCCTAAACCCTAGTCCCTGAGCCGTAGCGACAGCTCCTCATTCCTGCGCGCTGCAGCGCATCGCATCAGCATGTGGAAAAGCCCGCGAGCCCGGTGCTCTAGGGTTTAGGGTTCAGGGTTTAGCTTTAAGGGTTTAGGGTTTAGGGTTAAGGGCTTGCTGTGTATGTACACATCAGACCCGTGGCTTTACTTGAGCTGGGAACTGCAAAGAGAATCTCAAGATGTTCATAAGAGATATATTTCTCTTGTTGTGAAGCCTCGAGTAAGCACATTCCAGGGTTTAGGGTTTAGGGTTTGGGGCTTAGGGTTTAGGGTTTAGGGTTTAGGGTGCCCCCCTTCGCGTGTCTGTGTCCCGCAAAGCGCAGCTGGAGTTGCCTCTCAAGCTGCGGAGCAGCGGCGACGCTCTTTAGGGTTTATGGTTTAGGGTTTAGCGTTTAGGGTTTAGGGTTTAGGGTTTGGGCGTTCAGGACGCGAAGCGGCGTTGCGAGTTCACTCTCACCAAGTGTTTAAAACCTCTTTTCTTTTCTCGCCATTTCAAACTTTTGCCTTCTTTTCTTTTTTTAATTCCCAAAACCCTCAACAGCGCCCCTGACAAACCCTTGGTGGTTCCCGCGCCCTTCCGCGCCCTCTGATCTTCCCAAACCCTTTTCTAGGGTTTCCGCTTACTCTGACCTCCCCAAACCCTTCATTAGGGTTTCCGCTCCCCCCGACCTCCTCAAACCCTTTTTTTGGGTTCTGTTCACTCTCGGCCGTACAAACCCTTTTGTTAGGGTCTTGTGGCCATATCCAGGGTTTCGACTCCTTGGCCTTATAAACCCCGTTCTAGGGTTTTGGCCCACTCACGGTCTCAGACCCCCGTTCCCCTTTCTAGGGTTATAGCACATTGTCAGTCTCAGAGCCCTTTTTTAGGGTTTTGGTTCGCTCTTCGCCTTAAACCCTTGTCTAGGGTTTAGGGTTGAGCTGTTCCTTGCCCGCTCTTTCCTAGGCTCTTGGCTAGTTCCCAACCTTAAATCCTTTTTTAGGGTTTGTAAATTCTCCTCAACGAGCCTCCCGTCTTCGAGATTTTCTTCTTCCCAAAACTCTCCACATTTTTAGAATTTCCTTTTTCTCTTCCCTTTCCACAAGCCCTCTCTTCATTTTATTTTTGAAAACTTCTCCGAATTCATTTCATTTCGAAAACTTTTAAAAATGAAAAAGAAAGAAAGCTGGTGGTTTAGAAGTTTGGCAGTTGCTGCTGCTGAAGTGTACGTACACCCCGGCGGTGCGCGGCGTAGACGCAGAAACCCTTCTACTGTAAACCCTAAACCCTAAACGCCAAACCCTAGGCCCTAGTTTGCAGGGTATTATCGAGTTTTGCAGCTCGAAAGAAGCAGCAGCAACCGAGGAAACGCAGCTGCAACAGCAGCAGCAGCAAAAGGTAGCAGTAGCATTAAGAAAAGTCTCAAAGAAATGCGAGCGCAGCAGCACTTGGAGTGTACATACACCGCGCGCGCTGCTGCAACTTACACCGCGGTGTACGTACAGTGGCATTTCCACATTGCCAATGCAACATAAAATGTCTGTTGCATTTCCAATGCAAAATAAAACTCCCTTTAATCAAGTAAATATATAATTACATGATTAATTCAACATTTCGTCATTTGCGCATTTTCAATGCAGATTAAAGCGCCATTTGTTCTCCAGATTGCGGTGTATGGTCAGTTGCACATGATCAATGCGGTGTATGTACACTGTCGTATTCGCGCTCTTGACGCGGTGAACCAAATCACCTCCGTTGATTAACGCGAACTATAGTTGTTTTATTTAATTTTATTTATTTTGTTGTGTTACTTTATTTACTTGTTTTTTTCTTCGAGGCACTGAGCGTATTGCGTAGGAAATCGCAGCCAATTGAATTCTTCACTTTTTGATTACTTTGTTTATTACTCCCAGCCTTTATTATTTATACTTGAAAACAGCAGCAGCTGCAGCTGCAGCTGCTGCTGCTTCCTGCTGCAGCAGCAGCACAAAAATTTGCGGCACTTCAGGAACCATCAGAAGGCGGAATGCAGACGCCTTTGCGCATTTCATGAATTGCACTTTCGATTTAATTAAATATTTCATTTAATGCTAAAATTAGAATCCAATTTTGCATTTATTTCACATCTTTCAGCATAGGCCTGTTGCGGTGTACGCGTAGGCTGCCCAATTGGGGTGTACGTACACCTCAACTGCCCCAGTGGGGTGTACGTACACCTCAACTGCCCCGCCTCGCACCGTCCCAAAGTTTCACTTTTCTTCGCCATTAATATAATTTGGACTTTATAAATGCAGAAGACCTTTAAGAATGCAGAGGGGCCCATAAAAGTAGATTATTCTGCACCTTTTTGCCATTTATTTTGCCTTTCTGCACTTGTTGTACATAATAAATTGTCCATATATAACATGTATATGCTGTATATAAGAAGTATTATGTACAATAAGTACAACAGATGCTATATATCCATTATATATCCACTATATGTACATGATATATATTATATATATGCTGAATTGCACTTTGCAGAAAAATCCATATGCATTAATATATAATATATATATATATGTACATATGTTTATTATATATACATTTATATGTATATTTGTTTATATATATAAACATATATAAAATTACATATGGGTGAAAAGTCCGGACTGAAGTTGTGAAGACAGTGAAAAGTCTTCCAAAAGAAATGGCATTTAATAAGTGGCATTTAATAAATGGCATTTAACTAATGGCATTTAATAAATGGCATTTAATAAATGGCATCTAATAAATGGCACTATATAAATGGCATTTAATAAATGGCACTTATTTATTAAATGACATTTAATAAATGGCATTTAATGGTGGCAATTCCAAAATGGCATTTAATAAAGGGCATTCTATAAATGGCATTTAATAAATGGCATTTAATAAATGGCATTTAATAAGTGGCACTTAAGAATGGCAATTAATAAATGCCATTCAATAAATGGCATCTAATAAATGCCATTTAGTAAATGGCATTTAATAAATGGCACTCTATAAATAGCATTTAGTAAATGGCACTTAATAAATGGCATTCAATAAATGGCAATCAACGAATGGCATTTAATAATGGCAATTAATAACTGGCAGCAAAGTGGCATTAACTGGCAGCAGCAAAAGCAACTCCTGGGGCCTCTCTTTCGGTCTCTTGTTTTCTTTTATTTCCTTTTGGTTTCCTCTTTTACTTCTCCTTTCATTTCTTCTCTATTTTAACTCGATTCTTTTACTCCGCATTAATGTCCAAAATAAGACTTATCACTCAAAAACCTGTGCGCATCCCTCACAGCAGCAGCAGCAGCAGCAGCTTCAGCTGCAGCACCAGCTCCTGCTGCTACCGCCTTCTCTGCTCCCTCCGCTGCTGCTGCGGCACGACCAGTGACACAGAAAGCAGCATCAGCCGCAGGCCCTTGCCGCCTCCCTCTTCAGCCACACAACGTCCGCTCCAGC